ATGTCATCACGGGGCAATGTGATGTCATCATGGGGCAATGTGATGTCATCATGGGGCAATGTGATGTCATCATGGGGCAATGTGATGTCATCACGGGGCAATGCGATGTCATCATGGGGCAATGCGATGTCATCATGGGGCAATGTGATGTCATCACGGGGCAATGTGATGTCATCACGGGGCAATGTGATGTCATCATGGGGCAATGTGATGTCATCACGGGGCAATGTGATGTCATCATGGGGCAATGTGATGTCATCATGGGGCAATGTGATGTCATCATGGGGCAATGTGATGTCATCACGGGGCAATGCGATGTCATCATGGGGCAATGCGATGTCATCATGGGGCAATGTGATGTCATCACGGGGCAATGTGATGTCATCACGGGGCAATGTGATGTCATCATGGGGCAAAGTGATGTCATCATGGGGCAATGTGATGTCATCATGGGGCAATGTCATGTCATGGGGTAATGTGATGTCATCATGGGGCAATGTGATGTCATCATGGGGCAATGTGATCATCATGGGGCAATGTGATGTCATCATGGGGCAATGTGATGTCATCATGGGGCAATGTGATATCATCTCTCACCCCGCGCGCAGTTTGTACGAGCGGTGGCTGCGGGCTCATGGCGCGAACGCCTCCGCCTACCCGGCGCGCGGCTCACCCATCGGCCAGAACGGCGGGGACTTCATGGTGCCCTTCCTGCCGCTTGTCACCAACGCGGCCGCCTTCGTGCCCTCGAGGGAGCTGGGATACGAGTACGAGTACTTGCAGCCAGGTACGCGCCGCGTGAGCGGCGGTGCACGCCCTACCCATTGCGTTAGCGAGTGCCCTCGTGTTCTGTTAGCGAGCGTCTTCGTGTTCCGTTAGTGAGCGTCATCGTGTTCCGTTAGTGAGCGTCTTCGTGTTCTGTTAGCGAGCGTCTTCGTGTTCTGTTAGCGAGTGTCCTCGTGTTCTGTTAGTGAGCGTCTTCGTGTTCTGTTAGTGAGCGTTATCGTGTTCTGTTAGTGAGCGTCTTCGTGTTCTGTTAGTGAGCGTCCTCGTGTTCTGTTAGTGAGCATCATCGTGTTCTGTTAGCGAGCGTCATCGTGTTATGTTAGTGAGCGTCATCGTATTCTGTTAGTGAGCGTCATCGTGTTCTGTTAGTGAGCGTCATCGTGTTCTGTTAGTGAGCATCATCGTGTTCTTTTAGTGAGCGTCATCGTGTTCTGTTAGTGAGCGTCATCGTATTCTGTTAGTAAGCATCATCGTGTTCTGTTAGTGAACGTCATCGTGTTCTGTTAGTGATCGTCATCGTGTTCTGTTAGCGAGCGTCATCGTGTTCTGTTAGTGAGCGTCATCGTGTTCTGTTAGTGAGCGTCATCGTGTTCTGTTAGTGAGCGTCATCGTGTTCTGTTAGTGAGTGTCATCCTGTTCTGTTAGTGAGCGTCATCGTGTTCTGTTAGTGAGCGTCTTCGTGTTCTGTTAGTGAGCGTCATCGTGTTCTGTTAGTGAGCATCCTCGTGTTCTGTTAGTAGGCGTCATCGTGTTCTGTTAGTGAGCGTCATCGTGTTCTGTTAGTGAGCGTCATCGTGTTCTGTTAGTGAGTGTCATCCGTTCTGTTAGTGAGCGTCATCGTGTTCTGTTAGTGAGCGTCTTCGTGTTCTGTTAGTGAGCGTCATCGTGTTCTGTTAGTGAGCATTCCTCGTGTTCTGTTAGTGAGCGTCATCGTGTTTTGTTAGTGAGCGTCATCGTGTTCTGTTAGTGAGCGTCTTCGTGTTCTGTTAGTGAGCGTCATCCTGTTCTGTTATTGAGCGTCATCGTGTTCTGTAGTGAGCGTCTTCGTGTTCTGTTAGTGAGCGTCATCGTGTTCTGTTAGCGAGCGTCATCCTGTTCTGTTATTGAGCGTCATCGTGTTCTGTTAGTGAGCATCTTCGTGTTCCGTTAGCGAGCGTCCTCGTGTTCTGTTAGTGAGCGTCATCGTGTTCTGTTAGCGAGCGTCATCCTGTTCTGTTAGTGAGCGTCATCGTGTTTCCGTTAGTGAGCGTCATCGTGTTCTGTTAGTGAGCGTCATCGTGTTCTGTTAGTGAGCGTCATCCTGTTCTGTTAGTGAGCGTCCTCGTGTTCTGTTAGTGAGCGTCCTCGTGTTCTGTTAGCGAGCGTCCTCCGTGTTCCGTTAGCGAGCGTCTTCGTGTTCTGTTAGCGAGCGTCATCGTGTTCTGTTAGTGAGCGTCCTCGTGTTCTGTTAGTGAGCGTCATCGTGTTCTGTTAGTGAGCGTCATCGTGTTCTGTTAGTGAGCGTCTTCGTGTTCTGTTAGTGAGCGTCCTCGTGTTCTGTTAGTGAGCGTCATCGTGTTCTGTTAGTGAGCGTCTTCGTGTTCTGTTAGTGAGCGTCATCGTTTTCTGTTAGCGAGCGTCTTCATGTTCTGTTAGTGAGCGTCCTCGTGTTCTGTTAGTGAGCGTCATCGTGTTCTGTTAGTGAGCGTCATCGTGTTCTGTTAGTGAGCGTCATCGTGTTCTGTTAGTGAGCATCTTCGTGTTCTGTAGTGAGCGTCCTCGTGTTCTGTTAGTGAGAGTCTTTGTGTTCTGTTAGCGAGCGTCCTCGTGTTCTGTTAGTGAGCGTCATCGTGTTCTGTTAGTGAGCATCATCGTGTCCCGTTAGCGAGCGTCATCGTGTTCTGTTAGTGAGCGTCTTCATGTTCTGTTAGTGAGCGTCATCGTGTTCTATTAGTGAGCGTCATCGTGTTCTGTTAGTGAGCGTCCTCGTGTTCTGTTAATGAGTGTCATCGTGTTCTGTTAGTGAGCGTCATCGTGGTCTGTTAGTAAGCGTCATCGTGTTCTGTTAGTGAGCATCATCGTGTTCTGTTAGTGAGCGTCGTGTTCTGTTAGTGAGCGTCATCGTGTTCTGTTAGTGAGCATCATCGTGTTCTATTAGTGAGCATCATCGTGTTTTGTTAGTGAGCGTCATCGTGTTTTGTTAGTGAGCGTCGTGTTCTGTTAGTGAGCGTCATCGTGTTCTGTTAGTGAGCGTCATCGTGTTCTGTTAGTGAGCATCATCGTGTTTTGGTTAGTGGCGTCATCGTGTTGTGTTAGTGAGCGTCATCGTGTTCTGTTAGTGAGCGTCATCGTGTTCTGTTAGCGAGCGTCATCGTGTTCTGTTAGTGAGCGTCATCTTGTTCTGTTAGCGAGCATCATCGTGTTCTGTTAGTGAGCATCATCGTGTTCTGTTAGTGAGCATCATCGTGTTCTGTTAGTGAGCGTCCTCGTGTTCTGTTAGTGAGCGTCATCGTGTTCTGTTAGTGAGCGTCATCGTGTTCTGTTAGTGAGCGTCCTCGTGTTCTGTTAGTGAGCATCATCGTGTTCTGTTAGTGAGCATCATCGTGTTCTGTTAGTGAGCATCATCGTGTTCTGTTAGTGAGCGTCATCGTGTTCTGTTAGTGAGCGTCCTCGTGTTCTGTTAGTGAGCGTCATCGTGTTCTGTTAGTGAGCATCATCGTGTTCTGTTAGTGAGCATCATCGTGTTCTGTTAGTGAGCGTCCTCGTGTTTTGTTAGTGAGCGTCATCGTGTTCTGTTAGCGAGCATCATCGTGTTCTGTTAGTGAGCGTCCTCGTGTTCTGTTAGTGAGCGTCATCGTGTTCTGTTAGTGAGCGTCATCGTGTTCTGTTAGTGAGCGTCTTCGTGTTCTGTTAGTGAGTGTCCTCGTGTTCTGTTAGTGAGCGTCATCGTGTTCTGTTAGTGAGCGTCTTCGTGTTCTGTTAGTGAGTGTCATCGTTTTTCTGTTAGCGAGCGTCTTCGTGTTCTGTTAGTGAGCGTCATCATGTTCTGTTAGTGAGCGTCCTCGTGTTCTGTTAGTGAGCATCATCGTGTTCTGTTAGTGAGCGTCATCGTGTTGTGTTAGTGAGCGTCATTGTGTTCTGTTAGTGAGCGTCTTCGTGTTCTGTTAGCGAGCGTCCTCGTGTTCTGTTAGTGAGCGTCATCGTGTTCTGTTAGTGAGCATCATCGTGTTCTGTTAGTGAGCGTCATCGTGTTCTGTTAGTGAGCGTCATCGTGTTCTATTAGTGAGCGTCATCGTGTTCTGTTAGTGAGCGTCCTCGTGTTCTGTTAGTGAGTGTCATCGTGTTCTGTTAGTGAGCGTCATCGTGGTCTGTTAGTGAGCGTCATCGTGTTCTGTTAGTGAGCATCATCGTGTTCTGTTAGTGAGCGTCGTGTTCTGTTAGTGAGCGTCATCGTGTTCTGTTAGTGAGCATCATCGTGTTCTATTAGTGAGCATCATCGTGTTTTGTTAGTGAGCGTCATCGTGTTTTGTTAGTGAGCGTCGTGTTCTGTTAGTGAGCGTCATCGTGTTCTGTTAGTGAGCGTCATCGTGTTCTGTTAGTGAGCATCATCGTGTTTTGTTAGTGAGCGTCATCGTGTTCTGTTAGTGAGCGTCATCGTGTTCTGTTAGTGAGCGTCATCGTGTTCTGTTAGCGAGCGTCATCGTGTTCTGTTAGTGAGCGTCATCCTGTTCTGTTAGCGAGCATCATCGTGTTCTGTTAGTGAGCATCATCGTGTTCTGTTAGTGAGCATCATCGTGTTCTGTTAGTGAGCGTCCTCGTGTTCTGTTAGTGAGCGTCATCGTGTTCTGTTAGTGAGCGTCATCGTGTTCTGTTAGTGAGCGTCATCGTGTTCTGTTAGTAAGCGTCATCGTGTTCTGTTAGTGAGCGTCATCGTGTTCTGTTAGCGAGCGTCATCGTGTTCTGTTTGTGAGCGTCATCGTGTTCTGTTAGTGAGCGTCCTCGTGTTCTGTTAGTGAGCGTCCTCGTGTTCTGTTAGTGAGTGTCCTCGTGTTCTGTTAGTGAGCGTCCTCGTGTTCTGTTAGTGAGTGTCCTCGTGTTCTGTTAGTGAGCGTCCTCGTGTTCTGTTAGTGAGTGTCCTCGTGTTCTGTTAGTGAGCGTCATCGTGTTCTGTTAGTGAGCATCATCGTGTTCTGTTAGTGAGCGTCATCGTGTTCTGTTAGTGAGCATCATCGTGTTCTGTTAGTGAGCGTCATCGTGTTCTGTTAGTGAGCATCATCGTGTTCTGTTAGTGAGCGTCATCGTGTTCTGTTAGTGAGCATCATCGTGTTCTGTTAGTGAGCGTCATCGTGTTCTGTTAGTGAGCGTCCTCATGTTCTGTTAGTGAGCATCATCGTGTTCTGTTAGTGAGCATCATCGTGTTCTGTTAGTGAGCGTCATCGTGTTCTGTTAGTGAGCGTCATCGTGTTCTGTTAGTGAGCGTCATCGTGTTCTGTTAGTGAGCGTCATCGTGTTCTGTTAGTAAGCGTCATCGTGTTCTGTTAGTGAGCGTCATCGTGTTCTGTTTGTGAGCGTCATCGTGTTCTGTTAGTGAGTGTCCTCGTGTTCTGTTAGTGAGCGTCCTCGTGTTCTGTTAGTGAGTGTCCTCGTGTTCTGTTAGTGAGCATCATCGTGTTCTGTTAGTCAAGCGTCATTGTGTTCTGTTAGTGAGTGTCCTCGTGTTCTGTTAGTGAGTGTCCTCGTGTTCTGTTAGTGAGTGTCCTCGTGTTCTGTTAGTGAGCGTCATCGTGTTCTGTTAGTGAGTGTCCTCGTGTTCTGTTAGTGAGTGTCATCATGTTCTGTTAGTGAGTGTCATCGTGTTCTGTTAGTGAGCGTCATCGTGTTCTGTTAGTGAGTGTCATCGTGTTCTGTTAGTGAGCGTCATCGTGTTCTGTCACTGAGCGTCATCATGTTCTGTTAGTGAGCATCATCGTGTTCTGTTAGTCAAGCGTCATTGTGTTCTGTTAGTGAGTGTCCTCGTGTTCT